CTCCCAAAGTGCTGGTATTACAGGTGTGAGCCACCTCACCCAGCTGGAATGCTAGTGATTTTTACATGTTAATTTAGTATCCTGAGACTTTGCTGAAGTTGCTTATCAGCTTAAGAAGCTTTTGGGCTGAGGCAGTGGGGTTTTCTAGATATAGGATGATGTCATCTGCAAACAAAGATAGTTTGACTTTCTCTCCTCCTATGTGAATATGCTTTATTTCTTTCTCTTGCCTGATTGCCTTAGCAGGAACTTTCAAGACTATGTTGAATAGGGGTGGTGGGAAGGGGCAGCCTTGTCTTGTGCTGGTTTTCAGGGGGAATGCTTCCAAGCTTTTGCCCATTCAGTATGATACTGGCTGTGGGTTTGTCATATATGGCTATTATTATTTTGTGGTATGTTCCTTCAGTACCCAGTTTATTGAGAGTTTTTAACATGAAGGGATATTGAATTTTATTGAAGGCTTTTTCTGCATCTGTTGAGATAATCATGTGGTTTTTATCTTTAGTTCTGTTTATGTGATGAATTACATTTATTGATTTGTGTATGTTGAACCAACCTTGCATCCTGGAGATGAAGCCAACTTGATCGTAGTGGATAAGCTTTTTGACGTGCTGCTGGATTGGGTTTACAAGTATTTTGTTGAGGATTTTTGCATCAGTGTTCATCAAGGATATTGGTCTGATATTTTCTTTTTCTTGTTGTATCTCCACCGGGTTTTGGTATCAGGATGATGCTGACCCTTCTTCTGTTTCCCAGGCTAGAGAGTAGTGGTGTGATCATAGTTCACTGTAGCCTTAAACTCCTGGGTTCAAGAGATCTTCCCACCTCAGTCTTTTTTCAAAATTAGCTGGATGTGATGATATGTGTCTGTAGTCCTATCTCAGTTGGGACTACTAGGTACACACCATCACACCCAGCTAATTAAAAAAAATTTTTTTTAGGTTGGGTATAATGGTTTATGCCTGTAATCTTAGCCCATTGGGAGGCCAAGCTGGGAGAATCACTTGATTCTAGGGATTTGAGACCAGCCTGAGTAACATAGTAAGACCCTGTCTCTATAAAAAATTTAAAAAATGGCCAGACATGGTGGCTCACACCTGTAATTCTAACACTTTGAGAGGGAAACGGGGGAGGATCCCTTGAGCCCAGGAGTTCGAGACCAGCCTGAGCAACATAGGGAGCTACCATCTCTGTAAGAAAAAATACAATAATATTTTAAAAATTTAAGAATAATTAGCTGATGCATGGCATCATACCATTGCATTCCAGCCTGGGTGAACAAACAAGACCTTGTTAGAGATGGGAGTTTCACTTAGTCGCCCAGGCTAGTCTCAAACTCCTGGCCTCAAGCGATCCAACCGCCTCAGCCTCCCAAGTAGCTGGGATTACAGATGCCAACTCCCATGCCTGGCCATTTTTATATTTTAACCATTCTAATTGTCATGTAGTGGTATGTCATTGAGGTTTCCATTATGGTTTCAAACCCTGATGACTAAGGAGATTGAGCATCTTTTAATACATTTTTTGGCTCTTTAAGTTTTCTTGTTTGCAAAGTGCCCGTTAATGTTTTTTGCTCATTTTTCTATTGAATTGACTCTTTTTTGTTGTTTCTGTCTTGGCTGTTCTTGGCCCTTTGCATGTTCTTATACATTTTAGAACTAGCTTATAAATGTCCACACACAGAGGCATACACAAAAGCTATTATGATTTTGTTTGGGATTGTATTGAATCTATAGGTTAATTTGAAGAGATTTAAAACATTTACAATATTAAGTTTTCTGGTTGATGTTTAGGGTATCTCTGTTAATTAATTTTTCTCCAGTTTCTCTCAGTAAGATTTTATATTTTTGTTGGTGAAGGGCCTTGTACATATTTTGTTAGATTTATTCCGAGATCCTTGAGAGTTTTAATTCTGTTGTAAATGGTAGCTTAAAAAATTCGATTACTGAATTTTGTTGCTGGCATATAGAAATACAACTGGTTTTTCTGTATTTTTTTATTTTTTGAGACCGAGTCTCACTCTGTTGCCCAGGCTGGACTGCAGTGGCACGATCTTGGCTCACCACAACCTCCACCTTCCAGGTTCAAGCAATTCTCCTTCCCCACCCTCCTGAGTAGCTGGGATTACAGGTGTGCACCACCATGCCCAGCTAATTTTTTTTTTGGTATTTTTAGTAGAGATGGGGTTTCACCATGTTGGTCAGGCTGGTCTTGAACTTCTGACCTTGTGATCCATCCACCTCAGGCTCCTGTAGTGCTGGGATTACAGTTGTAAGCCACCGTACCTGGCCGGTTTTTCTATATTTGAATCCAGAAGCCTGACTCAATTAGGCCAATAGTTTTAATAATTTATCGTGGATTCTTCTGGATTTTCTAAGTATACTAAATCATATAATCTGCAAATAGAGGTTTTAGTTCTTCTTTTTCAATCTTGATCCTTTTTTTTTCTTACTTATATTTTTATTCATGGAGTCTCATTTCCTGGTGTGCTTTGTTACTGTTGTATGCTGGAGATTGTGTTTGGAAAGTTATTTGTGGACTATGTTGAAGCTTAGGAGGATTATATCTTTCTAGAAGGGTTTTCATTTGTCTTTTTTTTTTTTTTCATTGGCCTGGGGTCATTGTCGATCCAGGACAATTTTAATTTAAATCTGGGATCTGAGATCTCAGACCCACTGGATAAGTTGAAAATGGGTTGCAGATCCATATGAAGGCTGATAAGGTTCTGGTTCATCCTCAAGTAATTGTTCACAGTTACAGGAATTTCAGGGGTTTCTTCCTGACTCCATTGAGTTTTACATTTCTGTGCCTAAATTTTGTCTGTTTCTAGAATTTTTTTTTCTTTTTCCTTTTTTTCTTATATAGGCCTATTCATCTCTGAAATGTCATTTCTTATATTCAACTAGACGTGTGTTTGGAACCTGTTTAATAAAACACAAATTTCATTTAGTGATATAAAACAGCACATCACAAAGGATTTTTGCACATTGCTTGATTTTAGGTCTTAGGGCAGGATATTTGTATGTTCCTGTAAGGGCTCAATGGGCTCAGGAATGTCATTTCTTAAATTCTACAAAATGTGTGTTTGGAACCTTTTTAATGAAAACCCAGGTTCCATTCAGTGATATAAAACAGCACATCAGAAAGCTTTTACTTTTTCTTCTTCTTTTTTTTTTTTTTTTGAGATAAGGTTTTGCTGTGTCACCCAGACTGGAGTGCAGTAATGTGATCATGGCTTACTGCAGCCTCTAACTCCTGGGTTCAAGCAATCCTCCCACCTTAGCCTCTCAAGTAGCTGAGATTACAAGTGCATACCACCATAACTTGCTAATTTTTTAATTTTTTTTTTTTTTTGTAGAGATGGAGTCTCACCATGTTGCCCAGGCTGGTCTCAAACTCCTGGACTCAAGTGATCCTCCTGCCTTGGCCTCCAAAAGTGCTGGGATTATAGATGTCAGCCACCATGCCCAGCCTTTTACTTTTAAAAAAACAAATCACTTTTTATAGTTTCCACTTCATACAGATTGTGCTTGTCTTTTATTTCTTTACACATGGTAATAGTTATTATCTGTAAACTTTGTGAATTCTTCTGTTGTTTTTGTTTGTGAAGTATAGTTTTATTCTATACCTTGTTATACAATACAATGTGCTTGACATCGTATTTGGAAATTTATTCGTAGGAATACTTTGAGGTGTACTGTGATGGTTCCTCCAGAGAGGATTTGAGTTTGCTTTTGCGAGGTGCCTGACCTTTTGAATCAGGTACTGCCTTAAAACAAGTTCAAGGCTTGGGATTTCCTGATATCCTACATTATTTGAGCAGGAAGGTCTCTCGTCAGATATCCCACTTTGTGTGCCTGACTTTGTATATTAACTTTCTGTGCTGTAAAGATGTTTTAAAAATTTTATCAATGTTTTGTTTTGTTTTCTTTAGGAGATTGACCTGAGTAATATAGCCTGTTTTACTGAAACAGCAAGTTCTACTGCAGTTTATTTAACTAGATACATGTTGGACATTTAGTTTTTTTTTCTTTATTATTATAAATAACACTGTAATGAAGAAACGTTTTTATTTGTGTGCTTATCCTGTTATTTACTTGTGATTAATCCGGAAATAAAATAGTTACAATCTGCGTTTTTAAAGGCTGTTTGATATATATTACCATGGTATGGTACACAAAGATTGTCCTAACAATGTGTATTCTAAATCTTGTTAACTTTTACTATTTTGATAGATGGAACATAGTACACATTATTATTTTAGTTTAGCATTTATTATTTTTACTTATAATAACTATTGGCTGTTCATGTTTTACTACTTTTGGGTTACAAAAGCTTACATACTGCCAACTAGGGGCTTACCGAGGCTAACTCACATATCAGATGATGTAAATATTTCCCTCAGTTTGTGACTTATATTTCATCTTCATTTACAAAACTATATATATGTTTTGGTCTTGAAGTTTAACGCTTTTATTAATCAGATCTATCAATTTTTTATAGAGCCATAATCAGTCTAAGATAATAAATTTGTAGTTGTTCCTAGAAAAACTAGTGTTTTAAGTCTGGAATTGTCTTATGTGGCTAGAAAATTAAGAAATAGTGAAACCACTCTAACCTCAATGAGGATATATTAATAAATTAACATAACTCGAATTAGGATAATGCTCATTTTTAGTCTATATTAACCTGAGTTTTTATTATCAGTTTTTTCCTTTTTCTCATTAAAATATTTTCTCTTTGTCTGCTACTGTTCGTTTGATGTATACCTTCAGAAATTGGCAGGGTTAAAATTTGTAAGAATATTCTATTTAGTTTTTTTCTGTATTTTGCCTTGACTAATGATAATGATTCAGATATCATGTTAGAAATGACTTGAGATATCAAGGTTTTAAAATTTTTAATAAAAGTAAACAGCATTCATTAATATAGGAAATCATTTTATTGAAACTGAATGAGGACTTCAAATTTTTATAGCAGCTTAAAATATGTTTTTTTAGATAAGTGATGAAGAGAAGACTCTTCGAGAACAGGAGATTACTGCCTCATCACCAAATCTGAGTGGATCTAAGTTGGTGTTCGAGTCCATTTATAAGGTATGTAAACATGTAAAATTCTTCCTAGGTTTTGTTAAATATGTCACATTGAGCTTTATATACATATTTAATTAATCCATTTTTATAGCCTCATCACCACAGCTATTGCGTCTCCTGCACAGATATTGTCCTCATTGCACTAATGGTGTGCCAATGTTCTCTGCTGGGCTGTCTCCTTCCACAGACGCATTCCCAACCCTGCTTGGGCTCTGACCTCCCACTACAGGCTGTTTTCCTAAAGGAAACCCTCCTCGCATTGTTTGGGTCCTTACACCCTGCACTGGGCTGTCCCTTGCCAGGAAACTCTCATCACCCATTTGGCCCAGGAAACCCTCATCACCCATTTGGCCCAACACTCTGTTTGGATTGCTGCCTTGCGTGGAAGCCCCTTTCGCTTCTCTTGGCCTCTGACATCGTGGTGTCTTGCCTCATGGTCTCTCTGGCATTCCAGTGGGCTCTGACATTGTAAGCCTACTTTTTTCTTATGGGAATTCCCTCCTTAACCTACTCAGATTCCATCATCCAGTGCTGGGCCACCTCAGTTTCACCTCCCCACTCAGTGTAGATAACTACTTCACATGAACCCTTCCAGAAGGGGAAGAGGGATGAGTTTAAATTCATTTTACAATTTGATAACTGCAACCCCACAATTTCCTTTGAAAAGAATGTGCTAATTATTATGAGTGAGTGCCAGTAGTTTAAAATCCTGCCCCATTCCACTTTCTTTGTTTCGACTGTTGGGCCATCATTCAGTCAGGCTTTTAAGCTCAGAGTGTGGGGATCAATATTTATTTCTCTTACACCACACATTTCCAGTTACTCTGCCTTCACATCATCTTTTGCTTCTACTTGGGCATTTTTATTTCCTCTGTGACCACCTTAATAAGCTAGAATCATGGAATATTATGGCTAAAGAATCCCTGAGGGTCAGTTAGCCTATCTCTTCCTCCCCTCTCTCAGTTTTACAGATCTGGCTGCTGAGATTTAGAGGCATTCATTAAATTCAGCAAATAAGTCTAGTCAGTATTAGAGCTTGGACTAGAACTCATGTTTCTTCTCTATATTATTGCAGTAAACCCTCTTACCTGCTCCTCTAATATGTCCTATGTAAGCTACCTATTTGGTGCAGTATCACACAGTTCTATCCTGTAGGGCTGTTTGACTTTCCATGTATGCCCATGAGGGCAGGGACTGTGTTGTAGTTGTAGAAATCGGTAAATTAATTGAAAGTTGTTAAAAAACACATGATCTGTTTATAGTGTGCGACGTCGTTGGATATACAGAAAATTGTATGCATTTATATTTAATTCTTCCTTAAAACTTGAATGAATAGGCAATTTGGGAGTCATTTTTCACCTACTTTTTTAACCTAGTTTTTTTAAAAAAGAAAAACTGTATTGGAGAGGAAGAATGATTTTTACAGTTTACTAATATCATACTTTGCTCATTTCAGAATTTTAGGATTGTTCATGGGGTTTAAAAATCTAAGATTTTAAAAAATAAATACTTGGGGCAAATGCTTATTTTAATAGCAAAACCGAATGCTCATTATTATTTCCATTTCTTAGTATTGAGATTAGCTTTCTCAATATATTTCTCTGGAGTGAGAATGGAAACATAGATGAAGAAATTGGAATTACTTTACTTACAAGTATCTGGAGTGAGAATGGAAACATAGATGAAGAAATTGGAATTACTTTACTTACAAGTAATTTTCAGCACTGAATATGTTGTTTACAAATTAGGATTCTCTCTGATGCAGAATACAGTGTGGGATATGTGAGGTGAATGCAACATGTGTAGAAGTCTTGAGTTAAGAGTTTGAAATCCTGGGGATTATGTTTTGTAAATTCAGAGGTTAAGGAATAAAAGAAAGTATTCCAACTTGGCCTTTTAGTGTTACTATTTTTCAAAACATAACTCTGAAACGAACATATTTTTGTACTGCCACTCTTTGCTAATGCTGTTGAGTTTTAAGGAGGATAAATTAATCATTTTGTTATTCTTTTGGCTCTGCTAGGACTAATGAATTTCTTTGTTTATACTTTATACATATGAAGACTTAGGAAGATTTCTTAATGACAGGTGCTGACTTATTTTCCCCGTTTCACTCTTAATTCAGATCCCTTTTGCTGATGCTCTGGATTTGTTTCGAGGAAGGAAAGTCTATTTGGAAGATGGCTTTGCTTACGTACCACTTAAGGACATTGTGGCAATCATCCTGAATGAATTTAGAGCCAAACTGTCCAAGGCTTTGGCAGTAAGTATTTTACTTTATTTCCATATTTGACATGTTCACACTTTCAGTTATATACCCTTGGTAGTTTTGTTCTGTGTTTCTCTAGGAAATAAGTTAATTCAGTTTTCATAATGATATTGAGATTACTTATGATGTTGTACTATTAATCCCAAAACTCCTAGGTTTTTATTTGTTACTACTCATAGTTGGTTTTTAAGTTTTTTTTCTTGATCCTACTAATACCAATGCTGAGTGATTAATTTTGTGAGTAACCTCTGTGGGTTTCTTCATGGTCCATGTCTTTTTCCCTTAGAAATAGATTTCATATATGACTCTTAACAATTAATGTGGCCTGTGGTAGATATAACTCCTAGATTTCTGTTCTGAATTAGTATTTGGTATCAATAGAAGACAATATAGAAGAACATCTTAAGTACTAACACAGTGATATGCTAGTACTGCAATGAATAGCTCCGTACTGGGTGAATTTGGAGGTAGCTGTGTTGAACAAATGACATGATCAGTGATTTTTAAGTAGTTTGTTGGAAGTGTGGCTCTTAAGTGGTCATATCTTAAAACTATACACATTTTTATATGTAAAACGGATATTTTACAGTTGTTGTCTGTTAATCTGAGTCTAGTTTTTAATACTTTTTTTGTACCTGATGCAGAAGAAGACCTCAAAGTTGTGTGACATGGCTGCTTTAAACTATACTGATTATAGTGTAAGCATATGTCAAGCTTTCCTTCTGAGTTAAAAATTGTAGTATTTTCTGATATAAATAAATTTGTATTGATTCTCTAGGGTTACCTAAATATGTATAATTTAGCTATGTCAGCATTTGGGAAGACTAAAATATTAACTTTGTGTTTATTAAATGAAGGAATTTATGAGAACACCTAGCATAACAGATACTTAGTAACTGTTAATATTCTTTCTCCATTCCTAATCCTGTTATTTCTTTATCCTCATTAAAGTTGATGCTTTTAAATTTTTTCTTTACTTATCTGTCACTACCCTAGATTATATTCTAGTTATAACTAAGAATAGTGTCTTTCACCACTGTGAAACTCTGTGGAAGACACTGATGTTTGTCTACTGTTTGGCCATTGCTCTTTTATTATTCTTAGTTTTATTCACCCATTTTCTCTCTGTTGACATTTTAGACCACATTTCTTTGTGTGAAATAGACAAATATTTTCCAGGATATTGGACAGTCTTAGATGTCATCTATTAAATGCTGGTTGTGGCCCCCAGTCTCCATGACAACCAAAAATGTCACCATACATTTCAGAAAACTTCTGGCATGTTAGTACTACTTTTAAGCCGATCATAGTCATTTCCTTCTTACCAAATCTTTGATTTATGCCTGTGACATTGTAATTGTGGCTAAAAAGTATGAGTTCTTTGGGGGCTTCTGAAAAAAGTTTTTCTTGCTAAAAAAAAAAAAAAAAAAAAAAAAAAAGGCATGTGGGATGAAGCAGTCTTTTTTACCCCCTCTGGATATTGTTGTAACTGAATGTGATGCCCGGAACAGCTGCAGCCATCTAGAGATGAGGCAAGTACCTTCGGGACAACCCGATTTGCTGCATAGACATGTAGAAAGATGGAAAGAATTTGAGTCCTTGTTGCGGTCATTGAGTTGCTAAATTAGCCTATTCTGGAACCACCAAACTTTATTACATGGGATAATGAAGTTTTCATTTTTAAAGGCACTAACTTAGGAACTCATATTTGAGTGGAATTCTCTTTCTCTAGTAGCAGAAAGCATCCTGGTAACTAGATCAATGTCTGCATTAGTATTTTCTTTTCCAGTTGCAGGTAATAGCCTGTGCTACATTAACCAATAAATATAATCTGCTAGCTCATAAAATTGAGAAGTCTAGACATAGTATGGACTTCAGACATAGCTTGCTGAATGTTTCATCCCTTTCCCTGAATATATCTTTACCCTTATGTATATGCCTTATCCTCAGTCTGGCTTTCTGATGGTTGCAAAAATAGTTACCATGGGATCAGGCTTTATTTCTGTGTAGCATACTATCTAAAAGAGTTTCTTTGTCCCAGGGCAGAAGTTTGAAATCAAGGTGTTGGCATGGCCATGCTTCCTCTGAAGGTGCTGGAGAAAGATCTATTCCACATCTCTCTTCTGGCTTCTGGTATTTCTTTGACTTGTGGCAATATAACTCCAGTCTTCACATGGCATTCACCCTGCACGTCCCAAATTTCTGCTTTTTCTAAGGATATCAGTCATATTGGAATATCATTTGTCTGAGGATATCAGTCACCTCTCAACTCCAATGTGACCTCATTTTAACTAAGTACATCGGCAACAATCCTATTTCTAAATAAGGTCATATTCTGAGGTATTGGGGGTTAGTACCTCAACATACGATTTTTTTTTGGGACAGAGTTTAATCCATATCACATGTCTATCACTAAAGCAGTTATTGTGGTTTAAGGGGTAGCCTAGCCTAAGATTGTATGTCTGCCTGTTTAGATGGGGGATCATGGGAGCTGAGAGTCAGTGTGTTCCTGAAACCACAATATCCCAAACAAAAATGGATGATTGTTAGGAATGGGGAGAGGGGAGAATGATGATGGGGAGGCAGACAACAATTTTCTACTACCTAGAAAAGACACTTAATATGAATTAAATGTACAAAGTTTTTCACTTTGTAATTTCTATTCATGCCAAGCTGCCCAGTGCCTAATAATCTAACTATGAAAATGAATCTGAAATTCTTTTACTTTTGGGGTTTTAAAGCTACTTCTGATTTTGTGTATTGCAAAGCTTAAATACATTTTTAATAAGTTTTGACTGTTTATTTTATACATTTGCCTTGAAAGCAACTTTAAAAAGTTGTACATTTGCCACACATTTTTATTTTAGAGAAGTCAAGATATTCCATGTATATTTGTGATTTATCATCCCGATATTCCAGTGTAGAAAGAAGGGTATGTGGCAGATTTTTGCGAAATTTTACAATTTTTTTCTGCTTTCTGGGTAGAAGTGAGGGATCTATACTGAGAGAAAAGACAAAACTTGGGTTCCTAAGTTCCTAAGTAAATTGATTTTCAGCCAGGTGCACCTATGCTTTGTACCTCGTTGATAAGAAATATAGTATTTATGAACTTTTAATTCCATTCTTCTTTACTTCTTTCTACTCATTCTTCCTGCTCCAAGCATACTTTTTTAAAAAATTAATACTTTAAAAAACTTTGCAGTATCACAGACTTACAGAAAATTAAGTAGAAAATAGCAACTTTTTCTTTAAATCATTTGAGAATGAGTTCCCAGCCTGATGTCTCGTCACCTCCAATACTTGTTAGTGTTTATTTCCTTCATACAGAACATTTTCCGGCATAACCACAATTCAACATCAAAATAAGAAAATTAATGTTGATAAGTTACTACCGTCTAACCCTCAGACCCCATTGAGGTTTCACCAGTTGTCTCAATCACATCCCACACGCAATTTTAATTCACATTTGTTATTTAGTTGTCAAGTCTCTTTAGTCTCCTTCAGTCTGCGACAGATTCTTAGTTTCTCTTAGATTTTCATGGACTTTGTTACTTTTGAAGATTATCAGCAGTTATTTTGTATCTCTCAGTTTGGGTTTATCTGGTGTTTCTGCCAATTTAGATTCAAGTTAGACATTTTAAGCAGTACTGTTACAGAAGTTATACTATGTTCTTTTCATTGCATTCTGTCAGATTACATAATTTTGATTCAGCCCAATTCTGATTGGCTTTATCAAAATTTATCCATTCTCTTGTTGATAGGCATTTGGCTTTTTTTTTTGGTTATCACAAATACTGCTGCTGTGAACATCATAGCACATATTTTGGAAAACATATTTCTGTTGGTTATGTGTTTAGGAATGGAATTGTAGGGTATTGAGTATATCTGTGTACAGCTTTAATGAATTTAGATTTACTTTAAATGGATTTATTCTGGCGGAGTGGGGTGGCTCACACCTGTAACCCTAGTCCTTTGGGAGGCAGAGGCGAGAGGATTGCTTGAGCTCGGGAGTTTGAGACCAGCCTGGGCAACATAGTGAGAATCCATCTCTACTAAAAACAACAACAACAACAACAAAAACTAGCCAGGTGTGCTGGCATGCGCCTGTTAGTCCCAGCTACCTGGGAGGCTGAAATGGGAGGATCACTTGAGGCTCGGAGATCAAGGCTGCAATGAGCTATAATGATGCCACTGCACCTCAACTTAGGTAGCAGAGTGAGACCCTGTCTCCAAAAAAAAAAAAAAAAAAAAAAAAAAAAAGAAAGAAAGAAAGAAAGAAGAAAGAAAGAAAAGTTTGTCTTGATTACGGGTCAGGGGAGTGGGCTGTGGAGAATTCTGGCCTTGGTGTCTTGGATTTAATTGAAGATAGTTAGTGACTTGCTTTCTCCTGGGTGGTTCAAAGTGCTGAGCCTGTGGTTGAGAGGGAGGTCCAGAAACACTTTTTCATACATTAAGAAAGAGTGATGGGGAGTTATTGCCACGGGGAGAAGAAAGAAAGAAAGAAAAGGATTTGTCTTGATTACGGGTGGGGGTGGGCTGTGGAGAATTCTGGCCTTGGTGTCTTGGATTTAATTGAAGATAGTTAGTGACTTGCTTTCTCCTGGGTGGTTCAGTGCTGAGCCTGGTTGAGAGGAGGTCCAGAGAGCACTTTTTCTTACGTAGAAGAGTGATGGGAGTTGTTGCCTGGGAGCCTGTCCTGACAGCTGTGGAAAGGAGCAGGAGGGAAGCGAAGGAGTTTCATTTAGGGCTGTGGCAAAGTAGAAATCTAAACCTATTGCTATGGTCTCTTTATTACTGTCCTTTCCATTGAGGAAGGTTTTGACCTTGGAGTATGTAATTGAAAAATTTCAGCTTTATAAATGGAAATATTCTAGTATGATAAGAAAAAGTACCCTAAAGTAGATTTTTTGAAAGGTATTTTGATGAGTGGTAGAAGATGAAATAAATGGTTCTGGGTGAAGTTGTAAATTGATAAGAGTTTTACCCCAGGTGATATCTGAAAGCTTATTCTTAACCTATGATCATATGACTTTTATAATATAACTATCTAGCTTTTGAACATGGTTTAGGACTGATAAAAATTTGACATTACTTTTTCCTTTGATAGGAACTCTGTGGCCCCACTTCCTCTCAGAACCTTCCCTTAAGTCCCAAGATTGTGCTAAGTGTATCTCCTTTGTGTTCCCACAGCATTCTGCACACGACCAAATTACGGTGAAATTATTCTCATGTGTTTTCCTCCTCAATTAAAATGTAAGTTCTTTGAGAGTGAGGGATTTCTCTTAATTCAAATTTTTATCAAGTGTAGCATGTGGCACATAGGGTTAGTGCTCAGTAAAATTGTATTGAACTGACAGATACCAAATAATGATATAAACTTCCTTTTGTTCAGTTTACTGTTTATATATGCTGTTGATCCCACTATAAGTCACTGAGACAGAAAGGGGTTATAATGTGCATTAAATGGATGAGGAAAAAGCAGCGCAGAGAGGCCAAAGTAATTTGTCCAAGATTATGTTGGCTAATAATTGCTGGAGCCCTGACTTGATCTTAGGTTTTCTGATTGTAATTCTTAGGGTCTTTTGATGGTAACTGTGCCTTTGTCAAGAGTTGTATAACCAGGTGATTTAGGTCTTCAAACTCTGATCAAATTTTCAAAGGTAAGTATATTAAGGTCCAGGCACAGAGCAGGCACAAGGGGTGAATTGGGAGCTATGGTTCAATAGACTGATAACCAGTTAGGGAAAAGAATGAGGGAAAGATAGATTTTTTTTGCTTCATATGGCAATTTTGGAAGCTATAGCCAGTTCTTTTATTTAATGGTTTATTTTTAAATAACTTTTTATTTGTTTATCCATGCATAGTTTTGGGTACTAGAGGTACACTACTTAACAAATGAGATGAGATTTCTTCTCTTACAAAGCTTGTATTCTAGTGGGAGATAGACAATTATTGAAGAAATAAACAATAACAATATTGTAAATGACATGAGGGAGCCAGCTGAACAAATATAGAGGGAACTGCATTCCAGACAGGAAAAGTCACTAATGCAAAGGCCCCAACAGGGAGGAATCTTGGCCTTCTTTTAAGAATCAGAAAGGCCAGTGTAGCTAGAGCATAGTGAGCTACGGTAGAGCGCTACCAAATAAGGCTGCAATGGCTAGGTGCAGGACTCTGTGAGACTTTGAGGTAGAGTCCCAGGGTAAAGAGTTTGATTTTTTTTTTTAGCCTAATATAGTGGAAAGACATTGGATGATTTTGAATAAGTGAGTGATATGTTCTGATTGATGTTTAAAATAGATGACTGTGGCTGCTGCTTGAAAACCATTTTAGAGGATAAAAAAGGAATGGAAGCGGGAGGACTAGTCTGGAAGTTTTCACATTAATCTAGATAGTGACTTGAAATGGATTGGTTGTGGTGATGTGACTGAGAGAAGTC